GTTATCTATACACATGCAACCTTCAGATATGGCCCCAAAGCCTTAGTGCAGTTTTCAGCTATTAAAACTATTACTAATGTCCTTAATTTTTAGTAATAGCTTTAATAATTACTTAAGCTATTAAAGCTTAAAGCTGCACTAAGATTTTTGGAACACTGTATCCAGCCCTAAATTTCTCTCCTGAGAACTAGTCTTTTGTCATTAACTGACTATTACATATTTCAGATTAGGTATCCCATGCTCAGCATGCCTGAAACAATTCGTAGTCTTCCTTCCTTCCAGTGAACTTCACTATTTCTTTTGAGAGCACCATTATCCTTCTGGTCACTCAGGTTCACAACCTTGGAGTCATCTTTGATTCCGCACCCTCTCACCCCCTGTGCTCAATCAGATGCCAGGTCCTATTGATTCTGTCTACTGCAGCCTTTGCTCTATTTCTAGCCCACATCACTATCATGTAGACTATTTTAATAGCTTCCTCATTAGTCTAGCCCTCCATCCCCATTTGAGTCTTTGCATTCCAAAGTGATGTTCCTGAAGTATCCATCTGAACCTAGTCTTTTAAAAATATCTATGTGTGTATAATGGACTTAGATAGATTTGTGAATATTTTATATGCTTATATGTTGTCTTCCTTGATAAAATGTAGATTTCTTAGTCTTTTAAAAATATATGTGTGTGTATAATAGATTTAGATAGATTTGTGAATATTTTATATGCTTATATGTTGTCTTCCTTGATAAAATATAAGCTTCTTAAAGGCAGGAGTGTTTTAAATGTTTTACTTTGAGCATGATAATGCAATTACAAAAAGAAACTTTCAAGTGTGGATCTTTGATATCATTTATCAGGGACAAGAATAATTTCTCTCTCCTCCCTTTCCTATTACTTTTCTGCTTTTAAAAATATGTTTTTACCGAATCTTAGTTTTGAAAGGGATGGTACCATAGTAGATAGGAGTCAGGAAGACCGGACTATGGACTTGGAGTCAGCAGACCTGGGTTAAATCTTGTTTGTGCATAGCTGTTTGCATGTTGTCTCCACCGTTAGATTTAAGCTTCTTGAGAGCAAGGGATTTTTTTTTTTTTGTCTTTCTTTGTACCCCCAGTGCTTAGCACAGTACCTGACATGTTGTTGAGTCAGTCAGTTGTGTCCAGTTCTTTGTGACTCCATGGACTGTAGCATGCCACTGCTGTCCGTGAGGTTTTCTTGGCAAAGATACTGACGTGGTTTGCCAATTCCTTCTTTAGTGGATAAAGGCAAAGAGAAGTTAAATGACTTGCCCAGTGTCACAGAGCTAGTAAGTGTCTGAGGCCAGATTTGAACACAGGTCTTCCTAACTTCAAGCCCAGCTTTCTATCCAGCCTTACACATAATAGGTTTGTTGACTGATTGAGTGACTGACTGTGACTATAAATCACTTAACCTATCAGGGCCTTAGTTTTCTCATTGTTAAAATGAGAACATTACTATTTGTACTACTTGACATATAGATTTGTTGTAAAGGAAGTGCTTTGTGAACTTTAAAGCATTATACAAATTAGTATGCAACACACAGACACACAATCTATTCCAGATCAACTCAGTCTGAGAGGAGGTTAAGGGTAAATGGAATGTATAGGAGGGGTGGGTGGAGAGACAGGGATCAGTACAAACACCGTTTTCCTACCTTTATTTCCAAAGTAGTGTTGGTGGCTGCTGTTCTCCAGATGTTTGTTCTTGATGCTATCGTATTCTCAGACCCAGTTCAGAGAGGGAATATTGTTATTGGGGTGCTCCAAGGGCAAAAGAGAACTGAGAGGCCCTTTTCCAATGTTGCAGTTACTATGAATGAAAACTTAATGAATTCACCCAGTTGAGCAGTGTTTTTAGATATTAGAATGGACCCTGGACAAGAAAGTTTCATTCTCACCTAGTAATTTTGATCTCTTTGCTGCTTTTGTTCAAACCTTGTTTTTGGTTCCCAACTGATAACTTCCTTTTTCCATCCCCCTCAACCCAACTCTTCCTCCAAGACCCTACTCTGAAGCTTCCTCTTCCACTTGCTCCCTGGAATGCCTGTTCCATCATTAACAGACTAGTGTTCATTGTAAACCATTTTCTTTTCCATTGCACTTACCAAGAGTTGGCTTCCTCCTGATGACGGCTTCCCCGGCCACCTTCTCTAGCACCGGTCACACTTTAAACGCATGCCTATGACTCACTGGTTCTGGCGGGACAATTGGAATACTTAATTGCTCCCCATTGCCATTTCCAGGCTCTCCCTCTACCACCATTACCATTCTTCCTTAGAGGTTCATTTAATCCATATTTGTCACCCAATCAAAATTCTAATGGCTATTGTCTGTAGACCTCTGGGACACTCTTTCCTTCTCAGTGAGTTCAGTGCCTGGCTCACAGTCTTACTCTGCTCCCCAGCTCCTGTCCTCATACTCGGGAACTTCAACATGCATATGACACTTCCTCAAATACCTTACCCTCCTAGTTTCTCAGTTTACTGATTTCCCATGACCTACTGTTCTGCCCCGCTGCAGGTGTACAAAGATGGACATATCCTTGGTCTTGCAATCATCCACAAGAGTTCCATTTCCATGAACTCTGAAATTCCTTTAGCTCATCATGATCTGTTGGAATTCCACCTCTCCCTCTGCCTTGCAGCCCCCAAGACCTGTTCTTTATCCTCACTGTTACCTCCAATCCCTTAACCCCTCAGTTGTTTCCCAGGCCATCAACTCTGCACTGTCCATACTCTGCTCCCTTCCCAGATTTGACCCCTTCGTGAACCAGTTCAATTCCACACTGTCTTCTTGTCATTTCCCTGCCCCTTTATCCTATAGAAGATTTTCCCCTTCCAAACCCCAGCCTGATTAATTATTCCCACCACTCCCTCCCTTCACTCCTACATAAGTGCCGCCGAATGATGGAGAAAATCATGAAACTACTGACTGGGTCCGCTACTAATTTGTGTTACAGAGTTTCAACTGGGACCTCACTGCAGAAAGGCAGTCCTTTCCCACCTCACTAATTTGCTCACTGTCTCACTAACCACATCAGCTTTTCCAAACCTTTTCATCCCCCCTCAAGTTTCCCATGGCTGTTCCCCTCCCGCTTAGCTGAGCAGTGCCCCAGAGTTGGATGAAGAGAGTGGAGGCTGTTCCTTAAGGGCTCCTTCTGTCCCCCTCTTCATCTTGCATAGCTCCAGATGCTTTTCGCCACTTTTTCTTTCACCCTGGTCTCTCATAATGAAGTGGCCCTTCTCCTTGCCAAGGCACTCTCCCCTCCATGTACAAGCGATCCCATCCCACCTTCTCCAGCAGATTGCCCCCTTCACTGATTGTAAATCTTTCCCAGACTACTTTCTCTTTTCCTAACTACCCTATTACTGCAGAGGGTGCCACTAATAGGGCTGTTACCTAAATTTGCATGCTGTTTTTCATGTTAAATCCATAAGCAGAAAATGGCTTGTTTTGGAAATTAATCAGCCCCTTTGCATATTGCCAAGCACCTAAGCAAACACGGGAGATTGGCTCCCAGCCTGGGCTTCATCCTCAGCTCCTCCCTCTCTCTCAGCACTCATAGCCAGTCAGCTGCCAAGTGCTGTAGTTTGTACGGCTCTTGTGTACACCTGTTTCTCTCCTCTGACACTGCCACCATCCCGGTACGTAACTCTTATTGCTTCGGACCTAGACTATCCCAGTAGTTCGTCGGTTGGTCTTCCTGCTTCATCTTCCCCGACTTGAGTCCGTATTTCATTCAGCTGTCAAGTTGATCTTCCCAAAGCGCAAGTCTGACGCTCTGTTCAGTCAGCTTTGTTGGCTCCATATTGTGTCTGTGATCGAACATCACATCCTCTGTTTAGCTTTTAAAGCTCTGCATAACCTAGCGGCTCCAGGGGTGGGAAACCTGTGGCCTTCTAGGTCCTTGGGTGCAGGCTTTTGACTGAGTCCCAAGTTTGGATCTAGTCAAAGGGCTGTGCTTGAGGACCTAGAGGACCACATGTGGCCTTGAGGCCACAGGTTTCCTACCCCTGACTAGCCCCTTCCTTCCTTAACAGTCACTTTGGATTTACACCTTACACCATCCTTACGGACTTGAGATCTAGTGACTCTGGCTGTCCTCCAGGCGTGGAGATCTCCTTCCTCATGGTTTCCCTGGCTTCCTTCAGATCTTAAGTCCCACCTTCTGTAATAAGTCTTTTCTCATTCCCCTTAATGGGAGTGACTCTTTTGATTATTTCCAGTTTATCCTGTACATAACTTATTTGTTCATAGTTATTTGCATGTTGACTCCCCCACTGGACTGTAAGCTCTTTGAGAGCAGATACTGTCTTTTGCCTTTCTTTTTATTCTCAGCACTTTGCACAGTGCCTAGCATGTAGGATGCACTCAAAAAAAGCTTGGGTAACTGATTCACTGTGATATATTCCGTGGGGCCAGGAGACACTTCTTTAATAGAAGCATCTGAATGTCTGTTGTTAGGCCAATTTTTTGTTCCCAGTGCTTTGTATATAGGAGAACACAATAATTACTTATTGATTGACTTGTCACATATAACACATTACTTTTTGAGATACTTGTCAGGCAGGTAAGTTTTAGAAAGTGGTCTTTGGCTTTTCCATTATGATTTTCGTATATAGTTTGTTGTTAAAACTTGCTGTTTCTTTTTAAATTATTCATACTTACCCCCTTCACTCCTAAAACCAAATCACTAATCCTCTTCTTGCCTTCGAGATGATTTAAATTTATTTCTTACTGATCCCCTTCTAGTCGTACTATTCACCTGTCTTCAGTGCTGAATACTTGAGCTAAAAACTTTTTTCCCCCTCTCCATTTACCATTTTGATTACGTTCCTTTTTAAAAGACTAAGGTATTAAATGTGTTTATGTGTATTATATAACTGTATTCCAGTAATAGCTATCTTAGTTAAATTTCATAATACAGAGTTGCATATGCATATTTAAATAGATTAATAGGAAAATAAATCTCTTTTTTGACAGTCATCTTCAGCAGTATTGTCTGTTACTAAGCTCAAAGCAAACAGAGGCTTGGAGGATGAGTGAGCTGGAGCAGTTACGGCAGGAAGCGGAGCAGCTTCGGGGTCAGATCAAGGTAAGACCTGATGCTTCCCTTGTCTTGATGCTTTAGTTCTGCTTAACACTTTTCCTTTAAAAAAAAAAAGCAGAGTGCAAATCATTGTACTGCAATTTAACCAGTTAAGTTCACTTAGGACAGTTCTAGGCACAGAATGTGCATCTTCTCAGGCAGCTAGCTTGGTAGTGCCACAAGACAATGGGTAGAGCAGAGTCAAAGCCCACGTCAGACATCTCCTCATCTGTGACCTCAAGGAGTTAACTGATCTGTGTCTGCCTTAGTTTCCTCATCTAGAAAATGGGTATAATAGTAGCACCTGCCTACCTTCCATTTACTCTCTATATACATTGTGTATATACTTGTTATTTCCATCTTGTCTCCCTCATTGGGATGTAAGCTGCTTGAAGGCAGGACTTTTTTTTTTTTTGCCTTTATTTGAATCCCTAACACTTAAGGCAGTTGTTAGCACACGACAGGGGCTTAATAAATGCTTGTTGATGGGGCAGCTAGATGGCACAGTGGAGAGAGTGCCAAGCCTGTAGTCAAGAAGATTCCTCTTTGTGAGTTCAAATCCATCCTCAGACACTTATTAGCTGTGTGAACCTGAGCCAGTCATTTAACCTTATTTGCCTCAGTTTTCTCATCTGTAAAATGAGCTGGAGAAGGAAATAGCAAACCACTCCAGCATCTCTGCCAGTAAAACTGCAAATGGGGTCACAGAGAGTCGGACATAAATGCTTTTTGACTGACTGACTACTCTGGGCTTGAGGCCCAACAAAAAACCTGAAACAAACCTGTTAAAGTGTAATTTTGATTCTGTAAGAAACCCTTACACATTCGTCATCTTAATGTAAGCCTCATCAAATGTCTGAGCCTCAAAGGACATGTTTAAGTAGGCACACAAGTGATTGTTAAGAGTTAAGGAATGATCTTGGGAGAAAACTGGTCATCATCTGAAGTCACTAATCAGCTTTCACCTGTGAAACAAATGCACTACTAAGTGAGATTGCTGTGGCACCTTTGGAAACCTTAGATGTGTATAAGGGACACTAAATACCATTCTCCTCCCATCCAGCAGAATGCTGCACACCTTCCTGTATCAGAAGAACAGAGAGCCTTCTTCTCTGCCCACTGCTGGCAGCTTGGCCTGTCATTCCATGACTGAGTTAGGAGGAGAGGTTCATTACATTAACTCAAAATCAACACAGTGAAATCCTGGCCAGGGAGCTCACCAGCAACTGGCAGAATTCCCTTGGCTATCAACAACACTTCTGACATACTGTTCTATTTCTTTTTGAAATGGTATGCCTGACATTGTTCATTTATGTTGAGGGAAAAAGATGCCAAGGGAAAAAACATTCATTTAGAGTGCCTTCTATAAAAATTTTAAAGAGTGCTCCTCTACACAAAGCCAGGTGTCCTCATCAGAGGTCAAGTTCAGAAAGCTCTTGACTGACCTCTCTACTTCTTCAGTAGTCACTATAGGAGTAAAAGACACTTTGAGATTTTTGTTGGCTATAAATTCTCATTAGTCAGCATTTTGCTTTGACTTCCAGAAAAGTTAGTGCCATCCTCTACTTACTAAGAGAAGTATTGTGTTTAGAATACTGATCATTTGAATACTACATTTGGAATGTTGTCTTCAATTCTGAGACCTCTGTGTGACTGGTAAAGCCTTTCACAAACTGGCTGCAGCCTATCTTTTCAACCTTGTCATACATTATTTCCCTTCATGCACTCTGTGTTCCAGGCAATCTGGCCTTCCTGTACAACACATAGGGCTTTCCATCTTCTGTTTCCATGCCTTTAGCCATTGACCAGTCTCCCATGCCTGACATGCACTTTGTCCTTATCTCTACCCCTTAGGATCCCTAGTTTCCTTCAAAATTTAGCTACAAGAGGCCTTTCTGAATCCCCTCAGCTGTTAGTACTTCTCCCTCAAAATTGCTTTGTATTTGTTTTGTAAGTCCTTACATGTTATTTCCCTGATTGAATTTAGCTCCTTGAGGACAGGGGATGTTTTCATTTCCCTCTTTGTATCACCCATACCTAACATATTAGTGGGAAAGGGAACTGGACATGATTTCATTGACTTAGGGAACTCTTGGTGAGGAAGCTCCCTCTACCAATTCAGGGTCTCTGTCACTTATTATCTTTGGGAGCTGCCTGGAGCACTGAAAGGCTAAGTAATTGCTACAGTCATGAGGCAAGTATAGGGCAGAGAGGGGATTTGAACTTGAGTCTTCGTGACTTTGAGGTCAACTCTCTGTCCACTGTGCCATGCTGCTCCTCACTTCGAACATAGTAGATGCTTAATAATGTTTGATATATTGGGTCCTGCATTTTAAGAAGAGTATCAGCAAATTCATCTGTTCAGTGATGGGTAGCTAAGATGTTAAAAGGACTCAAAACTGTATCATGAGGAACAGGTGAAGAAATGAGGGGTAGTTAGTATGGAGAACATATGCTATCTTCAGATGTTTAAAAATAACCAATAAAATAGATAAATCATTACCGGTTTTTAAAGAAGAAAGAGGAAAACCAAATTAAAATATCAAGAATGGAAAAGAAGAATTTTTAACAAATGAAGAAGAAATAAAGAGTATTATTAGAAACCATTTTGCCATATCATATACCAGTTAAGCTGGCAACTAGGAAATGGATGAATGGTTACAAAAATATAAATACCCAGGTTAACAGAACAAGAAATAAGGAATGTAAATAGCCCCAGTGTTAGAAAAGTTTTAAATAAACTGCCAAAGGAAAAATCCTTGGGTCCACATTCAGTGATGAACAAATTCTATCAAATGTTCAAAGAATAATTAATTTTAGTGTTTTACAGATGGTTTGCAAATAGTCTTGATACTGACTACTCTGGAGAATCAAACTGGAGAAAGAATACTATAGACCAAGATCCTCAGTAATCATTGATGCAAAAGTTTTAAATAAAATGTTATCAAAGAGACTACAGCAGCATATCACAAAGATTAAACTGTGATCAGATAGGATTTATACCAGAGATACAGGGTTGCTAAAATATTGTTGTTCAGTCATATCCAACCCTTTGTGACCCCGTTTTGGGCTTTCTTGGCAGTGGTTTGCCATTTCCTTCTACAGCTCATTTTACTGATGAGGAAACTCAGAAAAACAAGGTCTTGCCCAGGGTCACATAGCTTTTAAGTGTCTGAGGCCATATTTGAACTGAGGAAGATGAGGCTGCCTGACTTCAGACCTGGTACTCTATCCACTACACCACTTAGTTGTATAAAATTAGGAAATCTATAAACATAATTCACATTAATACCAAAAACAACAAAAATCATGTGATTATATCAGTTAAAACAGAAAAGACTTTTGGCAAAGCACAACACCCATTTGTTTAAAATTATCACTTTTTTCATATGATGGGGTATAAAGAACTAAAAATAATTGAAGTGAGTAATAACTTCAGCAAAGTTTAGGCTCTAAAATACATCTGAATAATAATGAAATTCATCTAGAAGAATAAAAGGTCAAAAATCTCGGGACATAATGAAAGACAAAGGGGGAAGAAAGGGAGCACCTCACAGTAGCAGCTTTCAAAACTGTATGACACCAGGGGAACAGCTTGGTGGCACAGTGGATAGAACCCTGGCCCTGGAGTCAGGAGGACCTGAGTTTAAATCTAGCCTCAGACACTTAATTGTGTAACCCTATTGCCTAGGGAAAAAAAAAACCAAACTATATGACAGCAGTAATCATTAAAACAACTGGGTACCAGTTAAAAAGTAGAGAGGTTGATCAGTGGAGCAGAATAGATAACAGCATGCCGAAAGAAATGGACTGAGTGGTGGCCTACACATGAAGACTGAAGCTACAGAGCCATGTTCTTACTGTGGGACAAAAACTGCAGGAAACACTGGACAGCAGTCTGGCAAAATTAGGATTAGACAAAGACCTTATGTCATGTGCCGGGATAAGCTCAAAATGGGTACATGTCCTAGGTAAAAAAGGTTGTATCATAAACCAATTAGGAGAAAAAGGAAGGAATGATCTTTCTGTTTTGTGGATGAGGGGATAGTTTATGTCCAAAGATTAGAGAAGACAAAACAGACATCTTTGTTTACATAAAATTAAAAAGTTTTTGCACAAACAAATCCAGTGTAGCTGACATTAGAAGGAAAGCACTTAACTGGGGGAAAAAAAAATCTTTTACCAAGTTTCTCTGATAAAGGCATAAGTTTCAAGATATATAAGAAACTGACTCAAATTTATAAAAATAAGAGCCTTCCCTAGTTGACAGGTGCTCAGAGGATATTTATTAACAGGTACTTCTCAAAGGAAGAAACCTAATGTGTCAATACTCATATTTTTTTAAATGTTCCAAATCACTAATAATAAGAGAAATGCAATTTAAAGTAATTCTGAGGTTCTACCTCATACCCCTTAGGTTGGCAAAAGTGACAAATGTTGAAATGGCTACAGGAAAACAGTTACTGATGCACTGTTGATTGAATTATGATACCACCATTGGTACAGCCACTCTGGAAAGTAATCTGGAACTATGCCCCTGTATTTACCAAATTGTCCATGCCTTTTGACTGAGTGATAGCTCTACCAGGGCCTATACTCCAAAGAGAGCAAAAAAAAGGCAATAAGGTTAACAAGCAGGCACTGTGCTAAGCACCAGGGATATAAATACAAGCAAAAAGACAGTCTCTGTCCCCAAGGATCTTAGAGTCTAATGGAGGAAAACATCATACAAAAAGACACTGGAGAGTTTGGTTTGGGGGCAGGGGTGTGTATGTGAAAGTAATCCGAAAGGAACTTATCAGTAGAAGAAGAGGACTGGCAGAAAGCTGTTCCAGAGTAAGAAGACCATAGGGGCTGGTGGATGTTACACAGTGAGACTCTAGCTGAGGCATGAAGACTGGAAGACTGAAAAGTCAGAAACACAGGAGGAGGGGCAGCTAGGTGATACAGTGGATAGAGCTCGAGCCTAGTAGTCAGGAGGACCTGAGTTCAAATCTGGGCTCAGC